GGACAGATATACTTATTAAGGCCAATATGTCACAACATGCTGATTTTGTTGGCAGGTGGGTGATATCATTTGTTCTCTTTTTATTTGTTAGTATAGCCGAGGGAAAATATTAAAAAGAGTTTGGGGAAGTTTATTTTTGATGTAGGGTGGATGTCATGCATGCCCAAAGATTGATAGACGAGTGTAATCGTGTAGTTGTTTAGTTGTAAGAAGCTGGTATGGAGAGAGATTGATAAGGGAGTTTTGTGTGGAATTTTTAAGATCGGATGTAACTGGTAGTGGGGATTCTTCAGGTCAAATTTTTCGAGTAGTGTGGTTATGTAGTTGTTGCCGAAGTAGGTGGATCGGAGGAAGAAATGTGATATGTAGGGAAGGTCCGGATGACTTTTTTTCTTTGTATCCTGGATTGTAGAAAACAACCCATACATCAGAGGAAGTGAGGTTTAAAGGAGACACACTAGTAGTGGAATTATGACGTGCATATGTAAATTTTGTAAATGAGATGCTTTTATTAGGATTATATTTAACTAGGAGTACATTTGTTAGATGTTGTTGACCAAGGCGATTGTATCATTTGGAGGTCGTGGAGAGTACGGATAGAAGTACTTTGTTTACTCTGGTTCTTTTTGTTTTGCTTCTCGTGATCACAACCTGACAGCCCATTATTTTGCTAGGCATGCTTGATCGAGCAGTTTTGTTTGGAACTCTGCTAATTGTGACCCTTCTTTTGATTTTAATTGGTGAAGACATTGACCACACTGGAAATGCTTAACTGCATACTTTTGTGACGTTTTTATTTATTTATAATCCAAAATACAACATTTCGAGGATAGAAGTGCATTGTTGGTCTGATGGATGTTGGAGCTAGTGTTGCATTTGACGGGGTTTAGTCTGTTGCGCATCACACGAATAAAAGGAGCTGATAGAATTCCGATCCTTGATGAGATAACCACCAGTATCAAAGTAAGAGAGAATTTATTGTTTTTAGTTAATTTGTTAATGGAGATGAGATTGTGAGATAATTTGGCAACATGAAAGATTTGAGGTACAGCTTACGGAATGGGGTTGGAAGCATGTCATTACCAGTTTGAGCAATGGCCAGTTGGCAACATGAAGGATTTGAGGTACAGCTTACGGAATGGGGTTGGAAGCATGTCATTACCAGTTTGAGCAATGGCCAGGTGCTGGCTCGCAGATGGTGACTTGTTAAGATCTGTATTTGGTGTGGGATTGAGGATGTTTGTCAATGTGATGACGTAGCTGCGAGGATGCTACAGAGTCAAGGAACCAGTCATTCTTGTGGGAATCAGTGAGCAAGGCTTGAGTTCGATTGTATGTGAGATTCAATGTTTGTTGCAAAATTGGTACTGTTGCATAGGTTGGCTGAATTTGGTAGTTCTTGATGGAGGTTTGTTATGAATGATCTGATTGCTGTAGCTTGTATGATTGATCGGCCACAGGCTATACCATGAGAGATAGTGAGAATATGGTGTGGGTCTTGAG